AGATAGATGGGAGAGAGAGGATATGGGGAGGGGGAGATAGGGGGAGAGAGGGAGAGGGGAGAGACAGAAACAGCATTAGTGGATTCAGTAGATGCCTTGTTCTTTGTTCCGTGAGTCAGTGAGTCATGTACTCGTATGACCTAGATCTATCTTGATCTACTTACCGTGACCCAGTATGACCTAGATCTATCTTGACCTACTCATCGTGACCCGGTATGACCTAAATTAATCTTGACCTACTTACCGTGACCCTGTATATATGACCTACATCTATCTTGGCCTACTTACCCAGTACATATGACCTAGATCTGCCGTGACCTACTTACCGTGACCTGGTAGGAGGTGTCTATCTTGACCTCCTCCGGCCCCTGCCTCTCCTCTATGGGTATGAGGGGTATGTCGGAGAATGCGTGCCGGCGCGCCACGCGGTACATGCGTGCGGTGAGCTGCTGGGAGCGCACCGCCTCCTTGATCTGGCGGGCCAGCTTCTGTTTGCCGTCAGAGACCACCTCGAAGCCGCCCGTGTCCACATTGAAGCAGATTGGCTCCGGGAACGACTGCAATATAATGTGAATACAGTATAATATGATATACGACATTTAGATATAGGTCAAACACGAGTCGGTATACAGGCTCTGGGAACGACTGCTTCATAATATGAATACAATATAATATAATATACGACATTTAGATATCGGTCAAAAACGAGTCAGTATACAAGCTCTTGGAACGGATGGAATAACAATATTATGCGACATTCACATAGTGCTCAAACACAGGTCAATATACAGGCTCTGGGAACGACTGCAACATAATACTAATACAGTATTATAATGTACGACATTTAGCTATCGGTCAAACACGAGTCAGTTTACAACATAACATGAATACAGTATAATACGACATTTAGATAGGGGCCAAATACGAGTCAGTATACAAGTACAAGCTCTTGGAACGACTGAAATAATAATATACGACATTTAAATATCCGTCAAACACGAGTCAGTATACAGGCTCTGAGACTGACAGCAACATAATATGAATACATTATAATATACGACATTTAGATATCGGTCAAACCAGAGTCAGTATACAGGCTCTGGGGGGCGACTGCAATCGTAATGTAATATACGACATTTATATAGCGTTCACCCCTGAGTCAGTATACACGCTCTGGGAACGACTCATGTAACAATCAATCAAACAAATAAACAAATAAATACTATTAAGATTGCTGCGCAATTATACGATTATTAAAACGCGTTAATCGGTTAACTGCGCGGAATACACACACACACACACACACACACACACACACACACACACACACACACACACACACACACACACACACACACACACGC